CAGACCACCAACAGCCAAACCCTAAACCCTAAACCCTAAACCCTAAACCCTAAACCCTAAACCCTAAACCGTTTAACGTTTAATTTCAACAATTTTTTTAGATTAATAGAAAGCAACACATTCTAGCTGCAGCCACAGCAGCAGGAGACCCTAAATGCAAGGGGGCCCCCTGGGGGCCCCCCAGAAGGCTGGTGGTGGTATAGATGAAGAAGAAGGAGACAGCCGTCTCTTTATTTTGTTTTTTTATTTTTAATTGTTTTTTTATGTTTTTATTTTGTTTTGTCTCCTGCTAATGGAGACCCCCAGCAACAGAAGACGGGCAAGGGCCCTCAGACTGCTGTAAACCCTAAACCCTAAACCCTAAACCCTAAACCCTAAACCCTAAACCCTTGCCTTCTTTAAAGTACATCATCAGCTCTTCTTATTTCATATAATACACAACCTTAGAGGGCTCTAAGGCCTTCACGTTGCTGCGCCTCTTCTCGTATACACCCGGGTTTTGGGTTTAGGGTTTAGGGTTTAGGCTTTAGGGTTTGTGATGTGTGTGAGCGACAGGTACCCTATAAGCACTGCCTTCACGTCTCTCTGCCGTTCTAATGGGGCCCCCTTAGGGGCCCCCACGGACGGAGGTCAACACGGGGGCCCCCCTCTACCTGGGGGCCCCTCTATACATTCATCTGCAGCAAAAGAATCTGTCTCTTTGCTTAGAGACACAAACAAAGAATGTGTTGTCTTTGATACTTCTCTTTCTTCTCTAGGCCTTACAGCCAATACATGGGTATGGGTAGCTCCCAGGGGGGCCCCCAAGGGGGCCCCCACAGGGGCCTCTCAGGGGGGGCCCCAGGGGGGCCCCCGACGTCTCCTGAGGCTTCTATCGATTCCTTCTGAACCCGATAAAGACATGGGGGGCCCCCCCTGCCGCTGCTGGCTTGCAGCGCTAGCGGTACCCAAAGAGGAGTTAAGGGGGCCCTCAGCCTCACGCCTTCTGTCTCCTCTCTCCTCTAATACTGTCTCTAAAGGGGGCCCCCAGGGGCCCCCAGCCAGCCCTTTAGAACAAACTGTCAGGGGCCCCCAAGGGGAAGACACCTCAAAGAAACCCCCTGAGGGGCCCCCTGGGGGGCCCCATGACAGTGCACCTGGGGGCCCCCCGGAGGGCCCCCCTGAAGGGCCCCCTGGGGGCCCCTTTGACAGTTCACCTGGGGGGTGCCTTGGGGGTACCCAGGAGGGCCCCTCTAAGGTCCCCTCCAACGGGCCCTCTGAGGGCCCCTCTGAGGGCCCCTCTGAGGGGCCCTCTGAGGGGCCCCCTGAGGGGCCCCCTGAGGGGCCCCCTGAGGGTGGTTGGTGGTTGGAGAGTGTGTTTTTGTCAGCAGGGGTTTTGCAGAGTTTGGGTTTGGGGGTTTGCGGCGGCGAAGTCGATATTTGGGAGGCCTCAGATATAATGAAGGGTCAGGAATAAGGGGTTGCATGCATCAAATTTGCTGCTGCTGCTGCTGCTGTTGTGGCTGCTGCTGCTGTTACTGTTGCTGCTGCTGTTACTGTTGCTGCTGTGGCTGTTGCTGCTGTTACCGTTGCTGCTGCTGTTACTGTTGCTGCTGTTATTGTTGCTGCTGCTGCTGCTGTTGTTGCTGTTGCTTGTAGTGCTGCTGCTGCTGTTAATGCTGTTGCTGTTTCTCTTACTGCTGCTGCTGCTGTTACTGCTGTTGCTGCTGCTGTTGCTGCTGTTCTTTGTGTCTCTGTTTAGGTTCTGGGGGTTTTTCTTCTTCGTCTCCTTTTCGCGGATTGCCCTTAGCAGGGCGTTGCGAGTTACAGCAGCTGTCTCCTCCGTATGTAGACCCTTGGGGGCCCCTAGGGGCCTCAAGTAGGGGCCCCCAGGGGCCCCCAACTTCCTTAGGCTGCGGAGACGCAGCAGACATTGAAGAGCTTCTCTCTGATTACTTCTCTGTCCCTCGTCTCCTTTCTGTAGGAGACATCATAGGGGTTTTAAAGGGCCCCTATCGATATGGGGCCCCCTTCTGCTCTTGCTGCTGCAGTGCGACCCCCAGCAGCAGCAGCAGCAGCAGCAGCAGCAGCAGCAGCAGCAGCAGCACAGCCACCACACCTAAAGGGGCCTTAAGGAGACAATCTTCAGGCTGTCCCTGCTGCTTGTCTCTCTACGAAATAGAGCATGCGGTAAATTTTGGGGATGGGGCCCCCCGCTGCAGTAATCTCTCATCTCGTTTGCTGCTAAAGGAGCAGCGTAATCCTTCTTGGGGGCCCCTCTTCCTCGAGGGGCCCCCGGGTACCCTTGGGCCCCTTGCCCCTAAGGGGGCCCCCAAAGGGGCCCCTTGTGAGTCAGAGGAGGAGACCTGGAGGCCCTGCGAAGCGTCAGAGGGGCCCCCAGGGTCTCCCATCTCCTCTGAGAATCTGCTGCAGCAGGAGACACAGGGGGCCCCCAAACAAAGGTCCCTAGAAAGATCTTTTTGCTGTAGATCAGGGGGGCCCCCCCTATGCCACTGGATACCAGCAGATGCAGCCTTAGGCTGCGGAGCTGCAGAGACACCCCACGATGTCGCCCTTATATTCAGAGTCGCCGCCTTAGAAGCAATCAAACACCAAAAAGACGGGGGCCCCCAAGGGGCCCCCAAAGGGGCCCCCCAAGAGGCCTCCAAAGGAGCCCTCGAAGGGGCCCTTAAAGGGGGCCCCCAGGGGGGCCCCCAAGGGGACACTGAAGGGGCCCCCAAGGGGGCCCCCCAAGGAGGCTCTCAAGGGGGCCCTCAAGGGGGGCCCCAAGGAGGCCTTCAGGGGGGCCTCAATGGGGGGCCCCCCATGGGGGCCCCCATGAAGCCGCAGTGCGCGGTGGTTATGAGGGGAGCGACAGATTTGCTGCTGCAGGAGACACCGACTAGAGGGGCCCCTCCTCCTTACTTAGTACGTGTGTTGTGTGAATAATAAAGTTTATTATATAATAATAATAATATTATTATTATTACTACTATTATTATTTAATATTTGTTTATTTAATATGCCTGTGAAAGAAGTACGAGCGGCGGTGTCTCCTCCTTTGTCTCCTTTGAGGAGACAGCTGTCTTTATTTGTCTCCTTTGCTGCTGTCTCCTTGTGGCTGCAGCTTTGGCATCTGCTGCGGAGGGCCCCGCTGCCTCTGCTTCCTTCATTGAGGGGCCCCTATAAGAGGTGGGCCCCCCTTCTATCTCTTTCATTTCTTTTTATATGTCTCTCTTTTTTTTGTTTTGTTTGGTGTCTCCTTTCGTCTCTGCGTATATTGAGGAGACGCTGTCCCTCTAAAGGAGACAGCAAAAATAAATAAAGAGAGGGGGCCCCTGCAACTCATTAGGGGGCCCCCAGGGCATTTCTATTTTATATATATCTTACTGGAGGGCCCCCAGGGTTTTAATTGCTGCTGAAGATGCCTGCTGCTACTTACTTTTGTTTTTGTGTTGCTGCTGCTGCTGCTCCTGTTCTGTCTTTTTCTTTTGTCTACTCTGATTCTTTTCTTCTTGTTGCTGCTGCTTGTTGCTGCTGCTGTTTGCTGCTGCTGTTTATTGCTGCTGCTGTTTATTGCTGCTGCTTGCTACTGCTGCTTGCTGCTGCTGCGTTATATTTGTTTTGTCTCCTTTTGCTGCTGCTGCAGGCTCCTGGAATATGTCTCCTCGCGACTGTCTCCTGCTGCAGCAGGAGACAGAGGCAGCGTGCTTCTCTGTGGAGACCGCGGGTATGCATAAAACGAAGACGATTATCTTATAATAAATTTAAGAAATAAACTGAATAGAGCAAGACATAAACACTCTGTCTCTTTTTGTCTCCTTTTCTCTCCTTTAGGTGTCTCCTTTTGTGTCTCTTCTATTATCTTTTTGATGTTTAAAGTGTCTCCTTGCATGCAGCTGTGGGGCCCTCTTTCTATTGCGTCGCATTTGTGCTGTTCTGGGCCTCAACTTCGTCTCCATTGACTGCTACGCGCTGTCTCCTGCTGCAGCAGAAGCAGCAGCAGCAAGTGAGGAGACACAACGCACTTAGAGGAGAGGCCTGCAGCAGCTGCAGCCGCACAAGCAGCAACACAAGCAGCAGAAGCAGCAACTGCTTCTGCTGCAGCAGCTGCTGCTTCATCAGCTATGCATGCAAAAATACATGCATGCAGTGGCAGCTTCTGGGGCTTCATCCTGGACCTGCCTATCTGCTGCTGCTGCAGCTGCTTCTGCTGCTGCTGCTGCTGCTGCATTTGCTGCTGCAGTTGCTGCAGCAGGTTGAAGGAGACCATCCTATTCCGCCCGTGTTGTTGCTGTTGCTGAATCTACTGCTTGTGCTGCTGCTGCTGCTGCTGTTCCTGCTGCTGCTGCTGTTCCTGCTGCTGCTGCTGTTCCTGCTGCTGCTGCTGTTGCTGCTGCAGAAGGTATTGTGCATGCAGACGGATCCTCTGCTCCCGGAGGCAACAGTGCTTTTTCTGCTGCATTGGTTGAGGGGGCCCACAAGGGGGCCCCCTGCATCATTGCGCTGCAGCACCTCAGTGCCCTTATGGGGGCCCCAGGGGCCCCCGCTTCTCGCCTAGAGAGAATTGAGGTAAGCAGCTGTCTCCAACCCTCTACGCTGTTGTCACTATCAACAACATATAGGGGGCCCCGCCCTATTTAAGGGCCCCCTTGGGGGGCCCCCCTTATTTAAGGGCCCCCCTGGGGGGCCCCGCCATAC